GCTAATCAACACTATGGACCAAATAGACCTAACTGATGTCTACAAAGCTTTTCACCCCACGGTTGCAGAATATATATTGTTCTTATCAGTGCAGAGAGCTTTCTCTAGGATAGACTATAGGCTAGGTCAAAAAGCAAGTCTTAGCAAATTCAAAAAAATCAAAGTCATACCATTCATCTTCTCTGAATGAAGCTGACAATCAGCAGCTCAAGAATGTTCAGATCATGGGCAAACACATGGAGACTGAACAACATGTTCCTGAATGAACAGTGTGTCATAGAAGAAATCAAAAGAGAAATAACAAAATTTCTGGAAATGAATGAAGATGACAAAACATCATATCACAATTTTGGGGACATAGCAAAAGCAATGTTAAGAGGGAAGTTTACAGCAGCAATTAGTGACTACAAGAAGAAATTGGAAAGGTATCAAATAAAGGAGCTATCAATGCATTTCAAGGATCTAGAAAAACAACAAATCAAACCCCAAATTAATAATAGAAAGAAATAATTAAAATTAGAGAAGAGAAAAACAAAATTGAAACAAAAAAATACAAAAGATCAGTGAAATGAAAAGCTGGTTTTTTGAAAAAATAAACAAAATTTCTACACCACAGGTCCAACTAACAAAAAAAAGGGAGAAGACATAAAGAACCAAATCAATAAAATCAAAGAGAAAAAAAAATAACAACAGATAACACAGAAATAATAAGAATCATAAGGAATTACTACTACAAAGAGAGCTGCAAGCCTACAAATTGGGAAACCTAGAAGCAACGAATAGATTCCCAGAAACATACAATCTACCAAAATTAAGTCATTAAGACATAGAAAACCTAAATGACTGATAAACAAGATGGAAATTGAATCAGTAATAAAGACCCTCCCAACAGAATGGATCCTCCCAGTGCAGGATGGATTCACTGCTGAATTCTACCATACATTTAGAAGACCTGAATTCAATACTTCTCAAGGTATTCAAAACAACTGAAAGGGAGGGAATCCTCTCAAACTAGTCTATGATGCTTGCATCACTTTAATTCCTAAATCAGAAAAAGATACAACAGAGAATGAGAACTATAAACCAATTTCCCTGATGAACATAAATGCAAAAATCCTCAATAAAATATTAGCTAATCGAATCCAGCAACACATCAGAAAGATCATTCATCTGGAACAAGTGAGATTTATCCTGGTATGCAGGGATAGTTCAACATTTGCAAATCAATCAACATGATACATCACATTAACAAACTGAGGAACAGAAGCAAAATGGTTATCTAGATTGATGCAGAGAAAGCATTTGATAAAATACACATCCTTTCATGATGAAAACCTTAAATAAATTGGGTATAGAAGGAACATTCCTCAGCACAATCAAGGCAATTTATGACACACCCATGGCCAGCATCCTATTGAATGGGGAAAGCTAGAAACATTTCCTCTAATATTCAGAATCAGGAAGGCTGCACACTCTCACCATTGCTATTTAATACAGTCCTGGAATTTTTAGCCAGTGCCACTAGGAAAAAAATAAACCAAAGGGATATAAATTGGAAAGGAAAAAAAATCAAAATATCCATAATTGCAGATGACATCTAAATATAGGGGACACAAACACTCCACTAGGAAATTATTGGAACTCATAAGAGTTTGGTAAAGTGGCAGGGTATAAAATCAACACAGAAAAATCAATAGCCTTTGTATACACAGACAATGGTATGGCTGAGAAAGAACTTTTAAGATCAGACACATTCATAATAGCTCCAAAAAGTATTAAATATTTTAGAATAAATTTCATCAAGGATGTCAAAGATCTCTATGATGAAATTATAAAACACTAAAGAGATGGATAGAAGAAACCATTAAAAACTGGAAAAAAATCTTTCATGTTCTAGGGTTGAAAGAATCAAAATGTCCATATTACCAAAAGTAATTTATAGATTCAATGTGATCCTAATCAAAATACCTAAGGCATTCTTTGCAGATCTAGAAAAAAATGATGCTGAAATTCATATGGAAATGCAAGCATCCTGGAATAGCTAACACAATCTTATACAACAAAAACAAAGCCAGATGCATCACAATACCTGATTTCAAGACATACTACAGGGCAGTTATAATCAAAACAGCCTGGTATTGGCATAAAAACAGACAGGTAGACCAATGGAACAGAATGGAAACTCCAGAAATCAACTGACACATCTACAACCAACTTATCTTTGACAAAGGAGCTAAAATCAATCCCTGTAGCAAAGACAGTATCTTCAACAAATGCTGCTAGAAAAACTGGATCTTTGTATTCAGAAGTATGAAACTAGACCCATACCTTACACCTTACACAAAAATCCACTCAAAATGGATCAAAGACATAAATCTATGACCTGTCACCATCAAATTACTAGAGAACATTGCAGAAACTCTACAACACTCCAGAAGCACAGGCTATCAAAGCCAAAATGAACAAATGGGATTACATCAAGCTGAGAAGTTTCTGCACTGCAAAGGAAAAAAAAAAAAGAAATACTCAGCAATGTGAACAGGCAACTGACAGGATGGGAGAAAATATTTGCAAACTATGCAACTGATTTAAGATTACCATGAAGAATCTTTAAAGAGCCCAAGAAATTCAACAACAAAGCAACCCCATTTAAGAAATGGGCAAAGGACTTGAACAGGCATTTTTTAAAAACTTTTATTTAATAAATATAAATTTCAAAAGTACAACTTTTGTATTATAGTGGCTTTCCCCCCCATAACCTCCCTCCCGCCTGCAATCATCCCATCTATCACTCCCTCTCCCATCCCATTCTTCATCAAGATTCATTTTCAATTATCTTTATATACAGAAGATCAACTTGGTATATAGTAAGTAAAGATTTCAACAGTTTGCACCCACACAAAAACACTAAGTGTAAAGTACTGTTTGAGTACTAGTTATAGCATCAATTCACATTGTACAACACATTAAGGACAGAGATCCTACATGGGGAGCAAGTGTACAGTGACTCCAGTTGTTGATTTAACAATTGACACTCTTATTTTTGACGTCAGTAATCACCCAAGGCTCTTGTCATGAGTTGCCAAGGTTATGGAAGCCTCTTGAGGTGAACAGGCATTTTTCAAGAGAGGAAATTCAAATGGTAAACAGACACTTAAAAAAAATAACAGGATCACTAGCCATCAGGGAAATGCAAATCCAAACCACAAGGAGGTTTCACTTTACTCCAGTTAGAATGACTCTCATAAACAAATCAACAAACAAACATCACTGGTGAGGATGTGTGGAAAAAGGTACCCTCGTCCACTGTTGGTTGGAATCCAGACTGGTGCAGCTACTGTGGATGACAGTATGGAGATACCCTACATATCTGAATATAGACCTACTTTTGGCAGTTTACCCAAACCAAAAGAAATGAGCATTTGAAAGAGTTATCTGTACCCATATGCTCATTGCAGCACAACTCACAATAGCTAAGAAATAGGAATCAATCCAGATGTCCATCAACTGTTGACTGTACAACAAAATTATAGTATACATAAACACTATGGAGTACTACTCATCTATAAAAAATGAAATCCTGTCTTTTGCAACAAGATGGATGAAACTAGAAATCATTATACTTAGTGAAATAAGCCAGTCCCAAAAAGACATATCTCATGTTTTCTCTGATCTGAGGTAACCTAACAGAATACCTAAAATGTGATGTTTTGGGGTAAAATGGGCATTTTGAGATGTGATGGTTGTTTACAGCCCTTTTCTGCAGAGGAACAGTGTTTTATTTTCTCTTCATACTATTTGTTGAACTCTTTACTTAGTGTAGGTTTAAGATCATTAAGTAAGCTGATTGAGAGGGAGGAAGAAGAAGTGTTAGAGTTTAGGTTGGAGGGAGGCTAGGTGGGGAGCATTACTGTGTTCCTAAATCTGTATATGAAATACATGAAATTTGCATAATTTAAATAAAATTTTAAAAATAAAAAATAAAAAAGAGTACATATAAATCTCATTAAGAAACAGATTAATGGAATCACAGGATAGGACACAATAATAGAGTCCAGTTTCCTAGCAGTTTTATGTTCCTTATATTCTCATAAATAAAATTAAATAGACATTTACCATAACTTATAGCTGGGGAACCCTGGAAGGTTTCTTAAGTGTTTAAACTTCAGGTTCATTATTTCTATTTAGTCCAAGGAGTTGAATAATTAAGTGAAAGAATATGTCTAAAGTCTTCAGAACACAGCACATGTTCAATAAGTGTCAGTAAGAATCTCATTAACACCATCTATCAAGTAAACATTTAAAATGTTCCAGGTAATGTAAAACTTGTATTGAGGCCAAAAGAGGCATTGTGGGAAGCAGCACAGTGATTTTTTTTACTGGATCCTGGAAACAAGCAAGAGCCAGGACAACTTAGAGCACCTGAGTGCTGCAGGGACCTCCTCCAATAGTTGGGGATCATAAACCCCAAGCAGGGCAAGTTGACATTTCTATAATAGTAAAGGATTAACTTTCTACCCACACTGGTCAATGAAAGAAAACATTAATGTATATGAATAGAAAACTAGCCTTCAAAGAGAAAAAATAAACATAACTGGGGTAGCAATTAAAGGTCAAGTTCATGGTACTCTTTCAACATAAGGAAAAATAAAAATTGTATAATTTTAGTCTGAAACAGTCACATAGTAAAAACAAATATGAAATTGTGCTTTGTTTTGTTTGAACTACAGAAGAAAAACATGATTATTCCCTATTAGAGTATCTGTAACAATACACAGTAAGAACCTAGAATGACAATTAAAAAACAATTAAATAATCACAATATTTTGGATATAATGAACTTCTTGATACTAATGGTGTACTATATTATAACTCTGCATGGGATAGGGAAATAAACATGAAACACTTCTCATGATTTTTGGCAGATGGCAGAATTGTTCTGAAATTCCTGATCTGCAGAATATCAAATCTCATCATTTAATCTCTGTATTTCTTTTTAGTTTTCAACAATTTGTTTCTGGCAGTCTTTGAATAGCAGAGGTGAGAATCCATTAAAATGTTCGATGTTGCTGTGGATTTGTTCTGAGAGGAGGACTGCGATCGAGGCAAGAAGTACAGAGTCACAACATAGACACTGGGAGTCAGGTGAAAGCAGGCTAGAGGAGCTCGCAGACTCATTTATTTCAGTTGGTGCAGCAGCTTATATATCCGAGGCAGCCAATCTGGTCAAGGGGTGGTTTATGCCATAAACAATCACTTCCTTTGCTAGGCAAGCTCCTTTGCCAGGTGGGTTCCACTGCCATTTCCCGAGTAACTGACGCTTGCTCACCAGTGCCATCTTGGCACGGTCTTCTCATTCCATCACAGTTCTATTTGGAAAAATTCCTTTTTAAAGGTCAATTGTAGTTTGCTATTTTGATTTTTAGGAGCTGGGAATCCCCACACAGCTTTCCCTATAGTAAGATTATATGTGTCAAAGAAATAATATTAAGGTCAGTTAACATGCAAACCCTATATTATACATTGAGGGAATACAGCAAAAGTAGTATGGAATATGATTATAGCCCTTGGCAGATACTAAATGGGATTTTTAAGAATCATTACTTTATCTCAGGTTCCAAAGAAGCCAAAAACACTGTATATCCTTTGGCTTGGCACATAAATTAATTCTAGGGGCTACTTATTGCGAACATTGGTATGAAGAGTTTTTCAACTGACAGGTAAGTGAAGGGAGTCTATCCATTTTCTTGGCCTTTATCTTCTACATCAGTAGCTCTCAGGGCAGGAAGAATTGGATGTATGTTATCAGGATCTCAGGTCTAGAACAGTGAGGAAAGTCAGGCAGCTGAGTATATATATATTTATAGCCAAATCTCCAAAGATCTGAAGCATATGTACCTCCCTGTCCTTCGTTCAGTTCCTACAGTGTAAATCAAAGAATGTCTACAACAGATGCTATCTACTAGCTCCCATTTCCCTCAGTGCACATTGTCCTGTCTCACTGTCTAAATGGCTTTCCTTGACCTCTGGATAATACTGTTTGGGGACCAAGAAAGTGGATAAATTTCCATCCCCTGGGAGCAGACCTGAACTGAGGAGGTAGTTGCATAACTACATCAGCTCTCCTCCCTGTGGTGGTGTAACTCCACAGCGTTTTTCCACCATTCCCTAGAGCCCCCAAATGGGATCAAGCTTCCTTATTCACAATGACAACTTGCTTGATAACACACCCATTACCAGTTCTTTTCCTTCCCCATCACATCATTCCTATTCCAAACAGGTATTTCCTGGAATCACCTTTCAAAAAAGTGGTTTGGCCCCAATTCCTTGTCTTAGTCCTGCTTTTAGAGAAAATCAACCTAAGACCGTGCCAAAAATTATTTCTCTTTTCTTCTTTCCTCACAGTGTTCTGATGTCCTGAATACTAGCTCTTATGTTTTGGTAATACTCAGTTTCTTAAATACCATTCTTCAATTTTTAATTGGTTTGCAAATAGAAATAAAACATTAAATGCAAAAATATGAGTTCTGTCCCTCCTGTTTTCTAACTTAAATTTTTTTATGTGTGGGAGAGTCATGCAGAAGTAACTCTAGAAACTTCTATGTCACACCTTCTTAGGTGCAATTGCCTGCTATCTCACACGGTTTTTGAAAATTGTCTACCTGAAGGGAGAGTGGAGCAGCTTTCTACTTACTGGAGCAGCTTTCTACTTACTTCTGATCCCAGGAGGGAAGGACATTTTCCACATATTTAGCAGGAGGCATCAGCTGAAATTATTGAACTTACCAGATATTAGGCTTTCTGGATGATACAGTAGCCACTAACTACATGCTGTTATTGAGTACTTGAAATGTAGTAAGTAGGACTGAAACCATTGCTTGGTTCAATTACTGGAAAGCTTCTAAGTATGTTTGAAATAACTTGGGTGTAAGAATTTACTTTTTTTAAGACATGAGCTTTATGAAGTTCAAATGTAGGTTGAAGTATATCTGAAGCAAATTTAGCATCAAAATTGAGATGTGCTGCAATGCAAACTATATACAGGAATTTGAAGACATAAAAATCTCAATAATTAATATTGATATATTTATAGTGGAATTTTATATCAATTAGATGTTAAATTAAAATATTCTGATATATTGAGTTACATAAAATACATTTAATTTTTCTTATTTCTCTTTTCTTTTTTTTAAATGTGAATCATAGAAAATTTAAAGTTAAATGTGTGGTTCATATTATATTTCTACTGGACAGTTTTATGCTATCAGTCTATTAACAGACTTATTTGCTGGTCTAGTGGGTGCAATTATTGTTGTAAAAAAAAGATTAAGAAAAGGAAATAATAGCTCCTTTTCTTTAGGAGTTGACATTTTAAAGGGACTTTAACAGGTTTGGAAATAATATTAAAGCAAAATAAAAAGTAAAGGCATATAAAACTTCCTCAGGGAATGTAGGTGGCAGGGATCCAAGTACTTGAGCCATCACTTGCTGCCTCCAAGGGGGTGCATGTGCAGGGAACTGGGTTCAGCAGCAGAGCTGGGACTTGAATTCTGCCACTCTACATGGGATGTGGGTGTCCCAAATGGCCTCTTAACCACCAGGCTAAATACCAACCCCTCATTTGCCTTTATGACTAAATAACTTTACTCCTGGAACTCAGAGTCTCTGACTCTTACATGAACTAAGTGCCTTGAAGCCTGAGACGTACCTATCATCTAGGGACTTACTTTACACGGTAACCTAGTGAAGGGAAAATTGTACTTCTCAAATCAACTTTAAACTGTCACCTATCAGTATACTGTAGTTATCTATTATATAAGAGCAAAATAGTACTGCCTACATCACAATCAACCAGTCCACACATTTATATGTTTTTTTTTTGTTTGTTTGTTTGTTTTTTTGTTTTTTTTTTTTTTTTTTTTTTTTTTTGACAGGCAGAGTGGATAGTGAGAGAGACAGCGAGAAAGGTCTTCTTTTTGCCGTTGGTTTACCCTCCAATGGCTGCCACGGCTGGAGTGCTGCGGCCGGCACACCGCGCTGATCTGAAGGCAGGAGCCAGGTGCTTCTCCTGGTCTCCCATGGGGTGCAGGGCCCAAGCACTTGGGCCATCCTCCACTGCCTTCCCGGGCCACAGCAGAGAGCTGGTCTGAAAAGGGACAACCGGGAAAGAATCCGGTGCCCCGACTGGGACTAGAACCCGGTGTGCCGGCGCCGCTAGGTGGAGGATTAGCCTATTGAGCCGTGGCACCGGCCACTTATATGGTATTGATTGGTAATTGCTCTGAATATTCACTGTAAAAAAGGGTGTCATTCTTGGACCAGCATTTTGATTCCCCCTCCAGCTAATGCTACCCCAAGCTGTTGAGTTTACCCTCATTGTGGCTAAAATCCTTTGCTCCAAAGTGATGCATGAGCTTGTGTCAGTGATGTTTCCAGGGTTATTCTATACTTAACTCCTTACTATCCAGCTCACCACTGTTGCAAAGTAGATAGAGAGGGCTGTACAACAAAGCAATAGAGATCCAGTGAGAAATAAAGGTCAGGGCTCTGTTATCATAATAGTTGTAATGATGGGTTTTTGGCTTCTGCTCAGCCAAAGAAAGCACATATGTTAAGCGGCCACTTAAGAGATCTCACCTGGACAGTGGCAGGAGCAGCTGCTGCAGACCAGAGTACGGCTCCTAGGAGCCAGGCAGAGAGCACTTGCCATATTCAAACTTCATATTTTTCCAAAAGAAAAAAATTGAGTTCTGGAGACTTACCTGAGTCAGAAAGAGGGTGGATAGCAGCCTCCGAAGAGGTTTTTAAAACCTTTAGAAAGATGGTACTAAATGATTGCTAATATAAATTATAATCTTAGAGATGGATGTTGTCATTTCACACAAATTATGCTACCTGGAAGAGGTAGAATCATTTCAATATTCATATCAAGAATTCTAACCCTTGTATATTTATCCTGTAATATTGTAAAAACCAAGTGTGCACACTGAAGCACCAACTCACAATCCTTCTGTTTTGCTGTTCTGGCAACCACATAAAACACAAATCTTAAAGACTTATTAATTATTTACAGTCTGGCTTTGAAGATGATAGCACTTGAAGCAATCGTACTTATTGTTGACAGTCAGGCTGGTTCTAGAAATACCCAGATGGTCACAAGCCATTGAACAGAGAAATTAAGAGCAGTTCCAATTCTTGTTCAGAGAGATTTGCCTCAGACATGCTGCCGAAATCATGGATGCATATGAATAAATAGAATTTGGCCAGTGACAAATGCAAACCAAGCCAAAAAGCAAAGCAAACCAAAAAATTTGTCTTTTCCTTTCAAGTTGATTTTTTAGAATTCATTCAAATGTTCCAAATTATGGGTAGGTTATTCTAGACAGTTCTAAGGTATTGCAATTTGATCACTTACATTTATTGGCTCACACATAACCACAGAACACGTACTGTACACACTTGGGAACTAAAGATCTCATCCAACATGTTGTAGGTTTCTACATGTGCCTTCACAACCGAGGCAGAATATTCACTGTCTGGTGCTAATCAGTACCCCTTGCTTAATCTAGATGTGATCACTCACTTTCTGTTTTGTAAACAACCCTGAAAAGAAATAAAATGGTTGTTTTCTTTAACAAATGAACAACTTTCATTTGGAAAATCATTGCAAATATTATTTTCTGAAATTGAAGAACCATGCAAGCAGATTTCCACTATCAAACTTCATTTCCTCACTAGGAACACACAACTCTAAGTGTCAAAACTTGCACCTGAAATAAGATTCTAATTACAGCAAAAATAGGTATGTGTTTGGGTTGCTGAGCAACTGACAAAGCCTGTATCCAAACCTGAAGCAAACGAGTATGTTCTAACTGATATGTCAGGACGATAATTTACAGGGAAATAATGTTACCTGAAGGATAAATTCACAGATCAAAGACTGGTTGACTTTTCCCAATGCAGTGAAGGAACAATTATAAAAACGTAGGAAGACTGGAATCATGTCAGTAGACAGTTCACCTCCTAATGGGGTCATTCGAGAAAATGTTAAAAAATTATAAAATAATAATTTTTTAAAGATGGAACAAAAACTGTAAATATATGTGAAATTTCTACAAAAAAGAAGCTTAGTGGGCAGGTGTTGCGATGCAGCAGGTAAAGCTGCTACCTGAAATACTGGCATCTGGTATGGGCACCTTTTCAAGTCCCAGGCTACTACACTTTTGATTTAGCTCCCTGTTAATGGCCTGGGAAAAGCAGCAGCAGATGACCTGATGAGCCAAGTGCTTGGGCCCCTGCCACCTACATGGGAGACCCAGGTGAAGTTCCTGGCTCCTGGCTTCAGCCTGACCCAGCTCTGGCCATTTCAGTTCTCTGGGGAGTAAACCAGCAGATGGAAGATCTCTCCCTCTCTGTGACTCTCCCTCTTTCTCTGTAACCATGACTTTCAAATAAAATAAATATTTTTAAA